GTCGCACATAAGTGCCCTGGAAATTGTCGAGGAATGCGGCTTCCAGGTCCTCCCAACAACTGATTGATCCTGTTGGCAAGCTATTAAGCCAATGCCGAGCTGGTCCTTTAAGCTTGAGTGGGAGGTATTTGATGGCGTGGAAATCATCGCCGCGGGCCATGTGGATATGAAGGAGATAATCCTCGATCCATACCGCAGGATCTGTTGTGCCATCATATGATTCGATGTTTACGGGTTTGAAACCCTCGGGGATTTGATGATCCATTATTTCGTCTGTAAAGCAGAGTGGGTGTGCGGCGCCTCTATACTGGGCTATATCGTGACGTAGCTCCGATGAGCCTTGTCTACTGTGTTTGGCCCCGCTGAATTTGTGGCCGGCGTGAGGTTACCGTCTTGAGCCGTGGGGCACCCACGCGATCCGTAGATCGATCTTGTTTGCCTTGCCTTGTCCTCCAACATGTCTCGTAAGTCCGGCGCATATTCCCGTGCCTTGGTACGGGGTGCGGCTTGAGTGGAGGGCCGAGAGGCCTCTCTGTCGCGACCACGAGGTGGCCGGTCGGCCGCATCAAGTGTTTCCTCCTCTAATCGGGGTAGCAACCTGCGCTTTGGGTAGCTCTTGGAGGGGCGTTCGAGTTTATGCTCTTCGGCCGCGAGGACTTCAGTCCATCTGTCGACTAGCAAATCTTGATCAGCTCTAAGTTGTTGCTGTTTTTTCTCGAGGCTTCTTGCCGTGGCCATAAGCCTGCATTGAAAACGCTTTTGCTCGACGGGATCCTCTGGCACGACGAATTCGTCGTCGTCGAGGCTTGCCTCATCTTCGGAGGGAGGCATATAATTATCGTTCTCGACCTCTCTGTCTGCCGCTCTCTCATGAGGGCTGTTTTCTCCATCCTCCTGTGCTAAATCTTGCTGGAGGGGGTTTTCTTCGGCGCTTTCCGGAGTATTATTATCTCCCGTGCTGGAATCACCGTGTTTGTTTTGGCGGGATTTTGAGCGGCGCCGTTGACGCCGGCGCTTAGGCTGTTTCTTGGAGGGGTCATCCTCCGCTGTTCCATCGCCATCTCCCTCTTTTGGGGTGTCCACCATGTATATGTCATATGATGAGGTGGCTTTCCAGGGCCTAGTAGGCGCTGGTTCTTCATCATCTCCTTCATCGGCGTCCATACCGTCGATGTCTTCAGAGTCGAAGTCGAGCATGTCGGTTAAGTCGTCGACAGTGGCTACAAAGTGGGTGGTGGGTGGGCTTTGAATTTCTTCATCGTCCGTACCCCAACCTTGCTGACCGTAGTCCGGCCAGGGCTCTCCTGATAGAGAGAGAGACTTCAGTGACTTCAGGATATCGCCGAAAGGCGAGTGCTGAAAGATGTCCGCGGCAGTGAACTCCATGATCGGCGCCCAATCAGATTCGATCGGTAGGGGCGCAGAGGGTTCGGAGTCCGGAGAGGAGTCCGGCTCCTTGGAGTCACGAGTCTCGCAGAGTACGGGGATGGTGCTTGGCTCAATCGCCGTTGGGGTCATAGCCCCCGAGGTGGCGTCCAACCGCCCATCCTCGATCGGCGCAGTTGGCTCCGAATTAAGGGTTGGAGCCGATGCGGGTGCGGCCTCCAGGGCACTCTTCGGCGGCAGAGCTAAATCACGCTCGTCGTGACAGTGCGGCGCGCTCGGCAATGGCTTGAATCCGTTGAAGATCAAGTCCCCGCGGATGTCAGCCGTGTAGTTAAAACTTCCAAATCAGACCTGGCGGCCAGGGGCGTAGCTTTCGATCTGCTCCAGACGGCCAAGCGAATTGGCCCTCAGTGCGAAGCCGCCGAAGACGAAGATCTGTCCGGGGAGGAAGGTCTCACCCTGGACTGCATCGCTATCGATGATCGTAGGAGCCATCGAGCCTGATGGTGACGACACAGAGGAACTCTCAATGAAAGCACCAATGTCGGTGTCAAAACCGGCGGATCTCGGGTAGGGGGTCCCGAACTGTGCGTCTAGGCCGGATGGTAACAGGAGACAAGGGACACGAAGTTTTACCCAGGTTCGGGCCCTCTCGATGGAGGTAAAACCCTACGTCCTGCTTGATTAATATTGATGATATGAGTAGTACAAGAGTAGATCTACCATGAGATCGAGGAGGCTAAACCCTAGAAGCTAGCCTATGGTATGATTGTTGATGTGTACGTTGTCCTACGGACTAAAACTCTCCGGTTTATATAGACACCGGATAGGGTTAGGGTTACATAGAGTCGGTTACAATGGTAGGAGATCTGCATATCTGTATCGCCAAGCTTGCCTTCCACACCAAGGAAAGTCCCTCCCGGACACGGGACGGAGTCTTCAATCTTGTATCTTCATAGTCCAGGAGTCCGGCTGAAGGTATAGTCCGGCCATCCGAACACCCCCTAATCCAGGACTCCCTCAACCCCCCTCTAGTCAACCATATCGATCCTTTCAGGTGCACCGCATGCAGCACCAGTACCGCGTCCCGTTGTTGTTGCCAGGCATAAACATCCCGTATGGCTGGGACCTGGACCCCACCGCATTTCGGTGTTGGTTGTGCCGCAACCGAGATCTGCAACGGGTGTGCTCTCCTCACACCGAAGCAATGCCGCGACCCAGTGTACATGTCCGACTCCCTAGATTGGGATGTCTGATTCACGACAGAGCGCGCGTCGCCGCGGCGCCATCCAGATCGACGCCCGCCCTCCACCATCGCCGTTGGTGGTGATGCAGGAGGATGAGGACGGGGAGGTGGCATTCTTGGCGACACTGGAGGAGCGACCTAGCGCGTCGTCGAGGAGTCCCAACGCGAGGAGCCCCGCTCGGCCGACCTAAACGAACAAAAAACAGACAGAAACTATGTCTGTTTATGTCGGCCATTTGGAGTTGCCCTAACATTTTACTCACTCCATTCATAAATATAAGTCTTTCTAGAATTTCAATACAAACTACATACAGATGTATATAAACATATTTTAGAGTGTAGATTCACTCATTTTGCTTCGTATGTAGTCCGTAGTAAAATCTTTAAAAAGACTTATATGTAGGAACGGAGGAAATACATTTCTCTACTACCTAAAAGGAACGGAACGTTCCGTTTCCCATCTTACGTCGTGAGCTTCGTCCGACCTCCTCCGCATCGCTAACTTTTGATTTTTTTTTTCTGCCCCTTTCATCTCTGACTTTCCTTTCATAGGTTTTCAAGAAGAAAAGCAGCCTCAAGTTAAAAAAACAGCCTCAAATTACGCTCTAATTTGTCTCCCTAATACTCAACCGAAACTCCTCCATGCAGGCATGCACACGATCTCTCCTATCTCTCTTTGTATTCCTGATGCACACTAGGGTTTCCCGCCGCCGTCCACCTGGCTCCTGGCACCGCCACGCCTTTGATCTCCTCTGCCAATCCACTACGATCCTTGTCATCCGCGTTACAGGTTCGTTCCCTTCCCTCCATTTTTTTTCAAATCAAGCAGAACAGAGTGTCTTTTCTAGATCCGCGCATTTGCGTGGCCGCCGAGGCTGGATACCGGGAGGAGCTAGAAGGAAGGTGCTATCGCCGCTGCTGGAGGGGATCGGTTCATTTTGAGGTGTAGGGAGAGAAGAGAGGGACGGGCAGGGAGCCGACGTCGGCGTGGGCTTGCTGGCTTTTGCTGTTTCGTATGAGAGAGAGAGTGTGTGTGTGCGTGTGTGAGAAAGGCGCAGGGGCTAGAGTAGTTTTACCCAGGCGTGAAATTGTGATGCCGACGAGGAGCAGCAACCGGAGTTGTGCATGATTTCGCAAGATGAACCAGGCCTCAAGCGTTGAGAGAGAGAGGGAGAGAGAGAGATGGAGCGATTTTTTTTTCGTGACCGAGTGATGCCGATGATGTGCTGCTTCTGCTAATGCATAAACAGAGAGGGGCATGTGTCTAATACCGTTACTGCTAATGCATACGCATAAATAGACAAAATTAAGTTGTGTGCTAGCTATGGGAGCGTGTACTTCTACTACTATTATTTTTAGTTACTCTACTATTGTTTCTCATTTGTACGTATGTGTGTTATACAGATTGTTGTGATGAAAATAAATAAACAATATGATCTTTTGCAAAACTGTGTTGGATTGAATGATTTGTAGTCGAATTATGTTGTTTGATATACATGAGGATCATAAAATTATGTGTTAGACATGATTTATGTGAAAATACTAAAATTTTCTGTTGTCTCGCAGCAACGCACGGGCAATTATCTAGTTTAGATAAAATATTTTGCAATTCAACAGGCTCGTGGAAGGAAACGACGAGACCCTGGGGCCTGTGACTTGTGAATGGTGTCGGGGAGATGAGCCCGTGAATACTGTGCATACCTGGCCAAACGGGCCGGCCCAGCACGGCACGCCCGGCCTGTAATCGTGCCTGGCCCGGCACGGCCCGCCATAGCACGTTTAATAGCCGGGTCGGGCCGTGCCGGCCCACGGGCGCTACTCTTTGGCCCAGTCACGACCTGATTAGTAAACGGGCCGGCCCGATGGCCCGTTTAGCACGCTGGGCTGCACATATTTATCCTGTTGGGCTGTTTTTAGGCCTATTGGGCTATATTTTAGGTATAAATATATTAAAAAAAATCTGAAAATTATATAAAAAAATTAAACGGGCCGTGTCGTGCCGGCCCGCATGCCCAGGCTCCAAGCCCAGGCACGACCCAAGGCGTGTCGCGTGCCGGGCACGGCCCGTTTAGCCCGTGCCGTGCCTGCCCCATAGCGGGCCGTGCCGGCATGCTCGCGGGCTGGCCTGTTTTGGCCGGCCCGTTTGGCCAGCTATAATACTGTGGGCCTGGGTGGGACCATGTGAAGTGTCGCCGTTGCTTGAAATCTGTTGCATTTCATCTAGACCCTTAAGGAAAATGAAAATCCGTGTTGGTGTCCATCGCCCGGCCGCAAGCAGCGGAAAACGAACCCATCTTTCCTACTTAACCCCCGCGCTTTTCCAGTAATCCAGAGACACCGCGGCAAGAGAGGAGACGCGGCGGCGGCCATGGCGATTCCCCTCGTGCTCGTCCTGCTCCCGCTCGGCCTCCTCTTCCTCCTCTCCGGCCTCGTCGTCAACACTGTCCAGGTAACCTCGGGCGACCCGGGTCTGGCAATCGTCTCCTGTAATTCTCTGTGGCCCCTTTCTAGGGATTGTGCGGTGATCTGGAGAGGTTCGCGAGCAGAGATTCAATTGTCTCTCGTAAATGTTTTCCTTTTAGTAGGTTCGAGTTGGTGATTTCATCATGCGCGCCCACGTTGCTTCTTCGCTTGCTCGGATCAAATATGTTTTGTTGGTGTTACGCAGTCCGATCTGATGCCATCATTTTGAGTTCAGCTGCTTAATTTGGGAGATTGTCCAATTTGCGGCCTCGAAATTGGCAAATTATGCTCTTTGATCTGTTAATTCGCACTGGAATTTCCATTAAGCCGTTCCTGGTCTCTTACTATATTTGCATAACGTTGCAGGCCGTATTGTTCTTGACGATAAGGCCATTCTCGAAGCGATTGTACCGGCAGATCAACGTATTCCTGGCCGAGTTGTTATGGCTTCAGCTGATCTGGCTTGTGGACTGGTGGGCAGGTATTAAGGTATGTATAATATTGGAGCAAAAAGTCAACCATCTGTTCTTCTTTATACGCCACTTCCACATCAAATCTGAAGTTAAACCAAAGTGTAATATTCATATGATCCTTCATTTGGGCTACAAGGCCTCTCTTGTTTATCTTTTAAGTTGGTACATGGATAGCGACCTTAGGGTGAATTTGCTGCTTAATTACTTGCATAAAGTTAGATTGCATGCCTTTGGATAATCCACAATTTAATCTGGCATGATGATGGGACACCTAGCACCTTGCATTGCCTTTTTGATAAAAGGCAATGCTGAGTGTTGGTTGGGTTGATCACAATCAAGACCATCAGTTAGCTTATACCAGATGATTAAAGTCAACATGCTTTTTCAAAGTGGTTAAAGTCTGAATAGACAAGCCATCTTGTTGAGTCAACTGAAATTTGTGATGTCATTTGAGGATGCTTTGTGTCATGTTTTCAGTTATACTGTTGATTTTGTGTTTGTAAATCAACCTGAATAGCAGCACTAATATATATTTCAAAAGAAAGAGTGATATGGGTGCAGTATATAAGCAGGTTAGGGATGTTGTAGTGCCTTTTTTTTTATACTCAGAGTGAACGTTTCAACGTTTTCGTTTGACAAGAACTTGTATTGCAGTAATGCGTACAAATTTGACCCAATGGTGGCATGTAATGGAACTGGTGCTGCTCCCTCTATATCTAAATATAAGATGTTTTTGCGGTTTAAATTGAACTGCAAAAACGTCTTATATGTTGACACAGTGGAAGTACTAGATAATTATTTGAACTATGATGTTTTCCTCACTGTTGCATTAAATAGGAAGCAATTTATCTGTGTGATCTTAACTTCAACAATCACTGAACAAAACACACTCACCCAATGTCACTGTTTTTTTTATTCAAGTGTGTGCCTCCTTGATTCAATCACAGTACAAAAAGTTCTTGTACTTAAATTTCGGTGGAAAGTTGAGTAAACAGAATTTGCAAGTGCTTGTTTGCAAATCTTAAGTTGTTTGGACTTTTTTGAAATAGTAATTGATTTCCAACTATAGTTCCCTGATATTAGTCCATGCAAATTTTGCAGGTACAGGTGTATGCGGATCCAGCAACTTGGAAACTAATGGGTAAGGAGTTGATGCCAACATTACCATTTGGGAACTGATATCATTTCATTATTCACTTAGACCATATTTAGAAAAGGTTGTGTTTTGAATACGACCTTATCTGAAGAATTCTTTAGGCAAAGAGCACGCCCTTCTAATATCCAATCATCGAAGTGACATTGATTGGCTGGTTGGATGGATTTTAGCACAGGTTTTTATCACTTACTAAGTATTATGTTTTTAACTATTAATCAGTTAAGTACATTATGATGAGTTACCCGTGATTTGATGGTCAGCGTTCAGGATGTCTTGGAAGCGCAATAGCTATAATGAAGAAATCCTCAAAGTTCCTTCCAGTAAGTTAGCCCGTACATTTCTATCATCACATTTGGTTCTGCATTACTCATAGTTCAGTCATCTTTACAAGACTAAGGCAAGGGAAATTAATCAAATAAGATTACTCAAATGGAGAATTGTGCTAAAGTTATATGGTACACTACTATTATATTTAGTATTTCCTTTCGGCCATCATTTTAATGGCCTCGTGGTGAAGAAGAATGATGCCCTTTAAAAGGTCATCCCTACTGCTAGGTTCCACAAAGTGGAATTTAAGACCTTAAGAAGAGACCATCCCCACTGCTAAAATACAAACAAAAAATAGTATCTAAGAAGAACAACCCGCATTGTTTGGATATAAGATATGGTGTTTCTTAGTAAACTTTAGAGCATCAGCAAACAGGCACAAGTCGATGCAGTGATAACTGGCAAGCAAGGGTTGCTGACAGACTGAGAGTTAATTTGTCCAACATATATGTTGCCCTTGGCGACACTACTTCTGTCATATAGTAATAACAGTAGTACTAAACTGTTTATAAGCTTTAAGCTTAACTGATTCTTCTAGAAAATAGTCTAGGCTCAACTTCTGAAGTCAGAACTACCACATTTGAAAAAAAAAGCTGAGCTAAAATTATTGAATGGATGCTATTTTTTTTTTTGCTGGAACTGAGGATACTCAAGTAATTGTAGCACTGGAGAACTAAAGCCGGATATCATGGCACAGACATAATAATATCTCTATGCATCAGACAAGCATGATCTCTATGGTCCATGTAGATTCTTTTATGGAAACTTCAACAGGCATTATCTAGAATGGGCCGCACATGCATGTAGCTGAAGAAAGTAGTTATTGATTGTCTCATACCTTGATCAACTATTGCAGGTTATTGGTTGGTCCATGTGGTTTGCAGAGTACCTCTTTTTGGAGAGAAGCTGGGCAAAGGATGAAAAAACACTTAAAGTATTTTCCACCTTACCTAATACTACAATACTTTGCGGTTCATAGTAAATTAATGATATTTACACTCTTAAACGCAGTCGGGTCTTCAAAGGTTGAAAGACTTCCCCAGATCATTTTGGCTTGCCCTTTTTGTTGAGGGTACAAGATTTACTCCAGCAAAACTTTTAGCAGCTCAAGAATATGCAGTCTCACAGGGTTTGACAGCACCTAGGAATGTGCTGATTCCACGAACAAAGGTATTCAATTTGTTTCTTCCAAACTGAAATATCGTACTCTGTGCAGTACTAACTTTGCACATCCGATGTCAAATCCGTCCCTAGTTTTCTCTGTTTACCTGGTCTCATTTTGTACAATTTTTATAATGCTTGGTTGTGACACGTATACAATTCTTAGATTTATCTTCTCTTTTGACAGAGTTGATTGCGCAAAACCACAGGTTTTTGGCTTTGTTAACACAAATGGGCAGGTTGTGGATATTTTATAAAAACAACCACGACTTCTGAGGTAGCCTGTAGTGCTGCACCCAAACCTTTCACGGTGAAAATGACATAGAGCCCAGAAACTCATGTCGAATTACTCATGCCTCATGCTTAAGTGGACATGAGCTGATGGGCTCCACAAGTCAGGTCCTCCTATTCTCTCTGTCTCTCTCATGCCAATGCCGCTGTCTTGGTCTCATTCTCTTCTCTCCTGATGTGACTGGAAGCAGCCATGCAGTGACCTTGATTCGGCAATTCTCTGGTCAAAATTGGGAGCTGGGACCAGCTGCCGTGGCCTTTGTCGGCTGCGCTCTACCCACATCGGAAAGGAGGAATGGAGTATGGAATTAGGGGGGTTGGTGCATGCGAAGTCCTGGTTTGCCAGAAACTCATGTGTTTTACTTGGAAGCGGAGGAGCGGGATTGTGTTGGGTGAGGGCTGGACAGTGGCAGATGGCAACATAGGTGGACTGTGCTGGCTCAGCTCCCTGCACGAGAGTATGCACACATGGTCAAGAGGATGTGCATGGTCCTTAGGGACATGCAGGAAGCAGGAATGAGTCCGAGGACATGCTGGAGATAGTGAAGGTCAGAGACAAAGAAGATGACCTCGATGCAGCAATTCGCTGGTCCAAAATTAAATTAGTAAGGGGATTAGACAGAGGATAGTTGTGAACGAGCGGGAAGGTTGACTGGAGGCTACTGTGCTGGTTCGTCGCCAAATTTAGGATGCCCTTCTCCAGTTCTGACCGCTGCCGCCGCCTCTCGATCTCCACCTCAAGTGAGCCTTTGGAAAAATCTTCTCAAACACAAAATGCTCTCTTCTCCATTGATGTTTCCCCCTACTAATTTGACGCTACTGCGACCACACGGGGTAGCAACCAACGTGATCTGGGCTCACCACTGGTGACCCCCAGAGCACAGCGGGTTGCCTTGCTGACAAGCTCCCTGTGGTTGCCCTCCTCTGTTCCTCTCCTTGTCTCGTGCCACGGCCCTGCCTTGCCGGCACATCAGCCTGCTCGCATTGGCAACTAATTAACATGGCTGTGCTGACAGGTGGACTCAGTTGGTCAGTTTTATTGTCAAAACGACTCAATATTCGTCACCGCATCCACAAAACCACCTGTTACGGCAAAACCACCTGTTGTCTTGCAGAATTAACTCGTTTAGTATGGTAACAAAAAATCTCGCCTTCCCTTCCCATGGTCAAAACCTACATGAACACTTTGTCAGAACAAATATTTGGTACTTTGACGCTGTGCATTTGAACATTTTTTCCAAATTTTATCTCCATGTACTTAGTTTATCCCAGAAGTGTCGATATTCTAACAATTCCTTTTCATTTGCGACATCTTAGTACTTAGTTTATCTCAGAAGTGTCGTTATTCTAACAATTCTTTTTCATTTGCGACATCTTAGGGATTTGTATCAGCTGTAAGTATTATGCGTGACTTTGTCCCAGCTATCTACGATACAACAGTGATTATTCCGGAAGATTCGCCTAAACCAACAATACTGCGTATTCTTCAGGGACAATCATCAGTTGTAAGTATTCTAACTTCTGCAGTCTGTAGAAATTTACTAGCTGTGAACTCTAGCCATTAAATTTCTTGAAAATATTTGTGATTAAAAAATATATTTATAGCAACCTGAGTTGTTTTTCAGAACCCGTCGGATTCTAGCTCGAAGATTTTTGATTTGGTACCTTTGGTATTTCAATCATATTTACAACTCCACTGTTATTATAGGTTCATGTCCGCATAAAACGCCATTCAATGGGTGATATGCCTAACTCGGATGAGGATGTTTCAAAATGGTGCAAAGATATATTTGTAGCAAAGGTATGGAACTAATAATATTAATATTAGGAAACTATGATCATATAATGTGTTACTGTTGGAACAAACCATGAATTGGCTGACGTGCTAGTCACTAATTTTCTTTCCCTGTGACAGGACGCGTTATTGGACAAACATATAGCAACTGGTACTTTTGATGAGGAAATTATACCAATTGGTCGTCCAGTGAAATCTTTGATGGTAAAACATAACCAAGGCACCATTTTATGCAATATCATTAACTTTTGACATAAAAAATCTGCGTCAATTATTACTCCCTCTGTTTCAATGTGAAAAACCCCTCAGCCCACCAAGCTTGCAGGGAAAGAAAACATTAAATCTGAAGAAGAGCTAACTAAACACGACCATGCATACCCCAGTTAAATTCCATGCTACAGCCAAGCCTCTTCTAAATCATTAAAGTAGGTATAAGTTGTAAACATTGTATTAACATACTGATTCTCGCTGGACAATTATTTTGAACGGAGAGTCCAAGGGCAGGGACAGTTAGAGTGGAATGGACGGAGTGGATGTTAAGAAACTAAAATAGTATGCAGTCACATGTGCCCTTAAGGTCCTTTAGCACCTTGTAAGATAATGCGACACTTATTATCAAACTATTGACATGTACAGAATTAGAATAGTGCCTTTGAATAGAAAAAGAAGCAGGAAAATGCTCAATATGATCATGTGACATGGCACGACAACATTATTCGTTTTTCCCACACAACTACAACATGACAGAATATTTTTCTCTTATTCTTATAGCATGCCATAGGTAAGTGGGTACATCTGCAGATGTGTGCAGCTCTTCTATTCTGCTATGAGAACTTCTAAGATTATGCTCATGCTCTTTCAGAATAAAAGGGGAGCTCACATTACCATATACAAATAGCTTATTTCTTGGTCTCACTTGAATTCTTGCTGTTGGCTCAGGTGGTCCTGTCTTGGTCATGTTTCCTCCTATATGGTGCTCATAGATTCTTACAGTGGACCCAGCTCTTGTCAACATGGAAAGGAGTGATCCTCTTTGCTTCTGGATTGGCAATGGTGACTGCCGTTATGCATGTATTCATCATGTTCTCGCAGGCCGAGCGCTCAAGCTCCGCTAAAGCAGCAAGGGACCGAGTGAAGAAGGATTGATAGCTCGTGTGAAATTCAGTCTATAGGGGAACTGCCAATTTATTATGTTCAGAATATATGTAGACACAGGCTCCATGGGTGAAATCTAGTATGTCCTTGTTGTCCTCGGTAAGAGCTTCAGGAATTTTGTGTGGCGAGAACTGTGAGCTTTCTTCCTTCTTTCTCTACTTTGTAATGACTTGTAAAGATTTGCTTTGCCATACCAGGAATCGCTGCTCGAATTTATCGAAGCTTTTTTTTTTATCACTGTTCAGGCAATCCTTGGTACAGATTGCTATTGCCAACCTGGTTATTCTGCGCTTTGGTGTTGCTATGACATCGTGTCTGCGCTGGCTCAAGGAGGGAAATGTGAACGCCAAACTTTTTCACCTCGTGGCTAATGGACGAGTGTGCTAAGGGCATCCCATCTCTTTGTTCTGGTTCCGACCTGATCTTGGACCAAAAGGTTATAGATGAGGTGTTCTTCTAGTTCCAGGCATATGATTTGAGATATGTGCGCTGCGCATTGAAGCGGCATTCTACAATGTATTAGGGCAGTCCCAATGCTACACCGTGTGATATATATCTTGGACGCCAATATTGGCTGACGTCAGCT